CTCTCTTCTTCCACTTTCCACTGCAAGGAACAATATTGCTTCTTCTTCATTCGATGATGTATACATTTTTTTTTAGGCAAGGAAACAATTCGTCTTTCTTTTTTAGTACTTGCACTAGCATTTAGCATTCAGCAAGCAAATTGGATACTGAAAATATGACGTTGATGATGCGATTATGTTATGGTGTGAGACTTTCTCCGGAATCCGCCATGAAATTCGCTGCGGATTCTTCGTCACGAATCCGCTGCGAATAATTCGCGTTGGTTTGGGAGAACCTTTTCTTTTCCTGTCGACTGCGGAAAAACGCTGGGCTAGATTCCTATCTCAAAAATAATAAGACTATAATCTAAAAGTTCAAAAAGCCCGCCAAATATTATTTAAGTTGGTCTTGTACTGGATAGTGGCGCTAGTATCGATATGATGCCAGTGTCGCACCACAGAATTGGTTACTCTCACCTTGGTTTATTATATTTCTCTATGGGTTAGATATGACCAAATGCGCAAGCGCAGTCCAATTTAGATCTGATTTTGAACTGAAGTCCAAACAAACCTTTTTCCTCATTATTGAATATTGACGGATTTTTCTTCCGAGTAGAGCAAAAACGGCCAAACTTCTTGTGTTTTGTGTAAAATCTGATTTTTTTTTGAATTTAGGAAACATTTATCTGGATTTAAAATGCACACCAACACCAAGACGAATTCTCATTCAGAACATTTTGACATATTTTTTTTTAAACATAGGTAACAGGTAAACTGCCAAAGTAACCTGTGACATATTTTCTGGTGGCGTTAATTCCGCACCTGTAGTTCTGTTTGACTCCAGCGTCCCCAAGCGGATGCGATCCGAAGCTTTTTTTTTAGGCCCCGCCCTCCATTAAGCTTTTTTTCTATCCGTGAGGATATGTGTTCTGTGGTGGTTATTGTAAAAAACTATTGAAATTGACAAGTGTCACCTAAAGAAAATAAATTTTCCAAATGAAAATTTTGCTTGTTTCTCTCGTGAAATAGTCCAGTCGAATACCACTCAAGAAAAAATTAGGTAGGCAAAATTATACTCTTGGTTTTATTCAAGTTTGTTGCTTTTTGGTAATTTCGATCATGAAATTTTTGACAAAACCACTCGCCCATTGAGGTAGAATAATAAGGAGACGCTGTCATCATTTGAATAGTGCAGTAGAAAACGGCATCGGTATAGGCGTGGCTAAGTGTCGGAACAATATGGTTACTTAAACAGAGCCGAACTAAATGGATTCTTCATAATTTTTATCTAAAAATCGAAATTATACCAAGTAAGAAAAAGTTGCTACAGACACTTCAACATACTGAAACAGGAGATCCTTCCAAGACCCAGAATAGGAATTATGGGCTTCAAAAATTTTTCGCATTTGAAAAATCTTCGGATGGAAAATGCGGCCCTGTTGCAAATTCTGACGCGTTGCTGTGACAAAGGTGACAGAATCTCAGACAGAAGTGTCGTAACAATATGGCGGAAGTGGATACGCTTTTTTCGCCTCATGTCGCCTCCTTATTATTCTCACTCGCCTGACGGCTCGTGGTTTCGTCAAAAATGTCATTCGCGAAATTGCCAAGCAACAAACTTTCATGCCAGTCGAAAATTTTACCAACAAAATTTTTTCTCTTGTGGTATTATATATGAGAAAAAAGTATACAGATGATAATGTCATTGGAAGAATGGCTAACACAATAATTCAAAAATGTTTTCGAAAAACGTGAAAGTGGCCTATTCTACGGTTTTCTCGCCATGGTATGCAATACGTGCGTAAAGCACCTTTTTTCACTCATGTGATTGTCGCACTCGCCTTCGGCTCGTGCGTCAAAATTCACATTCGTGAAAAAAGGTTCACTTTACACACTTGTTGCATAAATAACTATTTCCAAACATTTCAAGTCGTGTAAAAAAAAAGTTTGACATCTATGACTGTCAAACCTCAACATTTCCCTTTTCATTTTTTTTCGGCCTTAAGACGTACCGTAGCGAGGAGGGTCAAATTTACTTTTTGACGAATTTTTTGCTCCTCTATCCGCTAGAATTTATTTTTTTTTGGAATTCGATATTTGAATTTTTTCGACAAAAAAATTGAAAGGGTATAATAGCCTTCGATTTTTTTTTTTTATTTTCAAACCGTTCTAACTCGAAAACGAAACGCTTGGGAGAAAAACTTATAGATCTCGTCGAGTACTACAAAAAAGCCTATAAGAAGTATCCCTCCAGGAGGCACCGTTTTCGAGAAAATCGACCACGAAAATTTTAACAAAATTACAAGAAATTTCAACTTTGACGGCCAATATCTCAAAGACAAAAACGGTCTGTAATCTCAATAAAAAAATATTTTGTAGATTATTCCACTCATGTGTTAGAAATCCCATAAGACAAGTGACGATTTTCAGAACTACAGCGAAAATTTTCTTTTCCATTTGTTTAACTAGAGAGAATTACAGCGATAATTCTCCCATGTTATTGTATACATGGTTGTCATGCTAATTTTTGATACACACAAACGGTTCCTGATAGCAACCATTTATTTGTATTGATTGTTAAGATGTTCAAATCGTTTAATACATATCTATTTCCATATTTTTTGCATTGTCATACGTGAAATAATCCTCTAAATACCACTTGAGCTTTAAAATGAACCAGGTAATTTTTCACTCATGCGTATTTTCTCTGCAAATTTCACTCGTCCTGCGGACTCGTGAAATTATAGAAAACACGCAATCGTGAAATATTATCGGTAATTTTGAAGCTCTCGTGGTATTATCCCCGATAATTTCATCCTGTTTCAAATGAGATATGACTCGAAACGATCGGTTAATAAATAGCGGAGTTATTGGGCGAAAAAGTGGCCTCGTGTCGGATTCCCACAATTTTTTTCTGATCAAAATCGAATTTTCCATTTTTATTTTTTTTCGGCCGTAAGATGTACCGTAGCGAGAAGGGTCAAATTTACTTTTTGATGTATTTTTTGCTCCTCTATCCGATAGAATTTTTTTTTTTGAAATTCGATATTTGAATTTTTTCGACAATGCAAGGACTAGTACGCATTACGTGGACGGGTTAGTTTGGGCTAGTTTGCATATTTTTGGTTAGTTTCGTTACAGTTCATTTAATACTGGATATAAGTGTACTGGACTACTGGTTAATTACAAAGCGCGCGGCTGTTGTTTTTCTAAATTCGATACATGCAAGGACTAGTACCTACGCATTACGTGGACGGGTTAGTTTGAGCTAGTTTGCATATTTTTGGTTAGTTTTGTTGCAGTTCATTTAATACTGGTTATAAGTGTACTGGACTACTAGTTAATAACAAAGCGCAATTTTTTTTCTAAATTCAATACATGCAAGGACTAATACGCATTACGTGGACGGGTTAGTTTGGGCTAGTTTGCATATTTTTGGTTAGTTTCATAATAGTTCATTTAATACTGGATATAATTGTACTGGACTAGTGGTAAACTGGTACACACACAAGTAAAAAAACAATTTGGACGAATAATAATATAATAATAATCCGGAAATTCCGGGCTAATAAAAAAAATATATTCAACCGGAAGATCCGGGTGATCAGGGACACCCAAAGCTTTTTTACCGTCGTGTGTAATATTCTATTTTATTCTTGAGCAACTTTTTATTTATCACAATTACTAAAATCATAAACTAAAATGTGCTCAAAATTTTACATAAGGCGATTTCGCCTCAGTTTGGTACCCCAGTTTGGTCTGTCAAACAGGTACCATTCAATTTCGGATGGGTGAATGATGCTGTCACAACAACTTTGGTAGGCCCTTTGGTCTGTCAGATGCTATACCGCGGTTTGACTTGTTAGTGGAGGTTTGGTAGCTTTCTGTTTCTTTTTCTCTCATGTCCAAATAAACATGTCAAAGTCAAAATGTACCAAACGCCCTATCCACTGAATTCGGATGCGATTGTTGAGCTACGTCACTTACGTACCAATTGGTTAACCATTCGCCTACCAAACAGCAGATGAAAATCTGGGGCGAAATCGCCCATAGATTATGACAAGTTGACAAAGTATCTAACAAACTGACACATTTCTGGTGTTGTCAATCATACAACATAACAGATTTCTGTTAAAAGCACTATAATTATTATAAAAGATTTGAACAAGTGGGTAAAATTGACATATGAGTGGGTAAAATTGACGTATGAGTGGGTAAAATTGACAAATGAGTGGGTAAAAATTGTTCGATTTCACTACTTCACATAAAGTGTTACTTTAACAACGAGTTTTGGGTCGACTACATGATAGTTTACCATTCGCGATAGAATAAATGTTATTTTTTAGAATAATTCGAATTGATAAAAAGTAAATTTAGCAGTGACTATAAACCTCCAGTCGAACCCGTACCCTGACTGGTTCGATTCCAATCATTGTACTTTAATTTGGGTTTACATATAAACACCAAACTTCCCCACGCGTGTGAAAAGTGCTATTTTCAACACTTGTTGCACAATAAACTATTCCCTACAGCCGTGCGGAAAAATCGATTTTCCGCACTGGTATGCGTGCGGCAAATGAGTTTTTCCGCACGGTGCGGTAAAACTTTTACCGCACGCATGTCAGTGCGGAAATAGTTATTTACCTAACAAGTGCGGAAAGTGGTCCTTTACCGCACGCGACGGCAGTTGCACGAACGACGCGAAGCGGAGTTCGGACAAGCTGTCGAGTGCGGTAAAGTCACTTTTCGCACGTGTTAGGTACAAAATTTTTCCTTCGGAGCACATAATTTTTGGAATTAAAATCTAATTGGAAGAAAAAATGCATAAAAAATAAGTTATGTATTTTAAACGAAAAATACTGTTTTTAAAAATCAATTTTATTTTGGAAAATTACAAAGAGCGTTCTAGCCTAAAGCTAAGTTTAATGAAAAATGCTCATAAGCGCATGATTACATATATTTATAAGTTCTGCTTTGCTGAGTCTGCTTCTAGGTAATGGAATTCAACTCTGCAACATTGTTCATATAACTCCTCCCGCCGAAGTCGAAAACAATACGGATTGGGGACTGTTTTCGGATGTTTGGATAATTCTTCCTTGGATGAGTTCACGAAGTTGGGTACCTCTTCTTTTGTAGAGTTGCCAAATTACTGTTAGAGCAATCACGATGAACAGCAACGTGGTACATATGGTAGCTATACTCCAGGTAGCCGGATGGATAGCTTCATGTTTTATTGGCATTAGTAATTCGGATTGTTTCTGGAGATCTTTAATTTTGTCCAGGTCTACAGAATTTAATTTGAGGATTTTCTGGTTCGCAATTGGTGACGTCATTGTTTCGATTTTGATTGGAGGCAGAGAAAGAGGTCTTCCATCAATTGTTTCCTCCTTGTTCCAGATTCGAATGTTCCCAGTAATTATTCCACAGTTTAATGGGATTTCAATTAAGCTGGGGTGATTTATAAATGCGATTTCATTGTTTTGGCAAAGCTTCTGCACTTTAAGGTTAGTTAAGGTTGGAATTGCCAAGATGTATTTGTTAGTGATAGGTTGCCCTATCGGCATTGTTACGTTGACTTGGACAGCTTCACAGTTCTGGATTTCTGCTTTCTTGATCAGGGCTACAACACAGTCATTTAATTGTGGGCTGAGATGATTTTGGCAGATGTAGAAATCTTGAATCATTGGGCAGGCTTCCTCTTCATATTGTTGTAGGTCAGTGCCAATTATTAGGTAAGGTAAGTTTGGGATGAAAATCGTATTTTGGATTGGAACAGGAATTAGGCGAAAAATTTCAAATAAGTCTTCTAGAAAGATTGGGAAATGAATAGCAAATATTATTTTGTCTTTAGAGAAGTTTACCAGCTAGTTGATAATAATATTTCAAATTCCCAAAATTTGCAATTCTGCTTTCGCCATATAAAACAGTCAAGTTAGCAATAATTTGTTTTAATTCGGAGGCGGCTATTACTGACGTATGCAATGTGTTTAAGTTAGCGTGTGCTTTTAGAGAAGTAGTTAGATCAATAATTCTTTTATCAAAATTTTGTTCTATAGTTGAAATATGATTCTTAATTATTAATTGATTTTCACTGAGAAGAGATATTGTGCTATTATAGTTGTTAATCAGCTGCTTTGTTAGGGATATTTGCAAATTAACTTCTATCTCAGATAAGTCTTGATGACTTTGCAATTCTGCAATTGTTTTATCGTATTTTTCGGCATCGTCTGAATCTAGTATGCCAAAAAGCCATTTTGACGTTTTTCCTACTAAATTAATTAAGCCACGTTTATTACGATTATGTGGTTTAATATTATCTACCCTAGTACTAACTTCTAAGATAAGATATTTAGCATGATTAAGCAAATTTCTTGAATGGATATGAACTTGATGCGAATTAAGCGATGTATTATTAAGCGTTTGATTAATTAGTGATTCTAAAATATTATAAGAATATTTAATAGTATCTAAATTATTAATTATTGGGTTAATTTCTACAAAATGTAGAAATGTGTGTTTACTCTCAATTATTTTAGAGTTTCCTAAACGGAATGGAAGTAGGGGGTTACTGAGAGGGATGATGTCAGTGGACCTACTTATCGATGTTCCGGTCATTGTCAGCATAGCTGCAAGAAGGAATAGCTTCGTTCCGTTCATCGTCTTTCTTCTGTGGAGAAGAAAAAAGCTTAGGTCTTTGAATTTGCGATTTGTGCACTACTTTCTTCTTTGTAGTAATAACTTTATCGCCAATGTCTTGGTGTACTATGTTGGGTTTTCGTCTAGGTTTGTCTTTAGTACGTTTCGCACTTTTATCAGTAACGTATATTTTACTGTCAGGTTTATATTCTGGTGGGTTTTCACGTTTTTCGTTTTGTTTTTGATTTAATTTAGTTTTGGTATTTACCGATTGTTCATAAATCTGGTTATAAATTAATTTCAATCTTTCTTTCCGGTCATCAACATATTTGTTTAAAATGACTTCGTCAGTAAGGTCAAATGGGTCTAGACTGTTGAGTCGTCCATTTATGACGTCGAACGGTTTCTGTTTCGTTACACTATGCACTGAGGAGTTGTAACCTATTATTGCATATTGCATTAATTGTTTTGTACTTGCTTTAGGTTCTTTCAATTTCAAAATTCGAAATAGTTCAATTAATGTCGAATGTAATCTTTCGACTGGACTATTACTATTAGAATTGCCAGGTGTTGTAAAATGGATACGAATATTATGTAATTTGCAATAATCCAATAGCAAGGAAGTTTTAAATTCTGTGCCATTGTCACAAGTAATTTGTTGAGGTAGGCCATGATGGTTTACGAAGGTTGATAAATTATCAAGCACGATGGTTGCTGTGCAAGCAGGTTCCAATGGGTATGCCTGAGCGTATCGCGAAAATACGTCTATTATTGTGAGAAATTTCGCATTACAAATTTGGAATGTGTCTATATGAATGGACTCTAGAGGTTGTGTTGGAGTTAGGGCTGGGCGATTATCAAAATAAATAATCGATTATCGATTATTAAAAATAATCGATTATTTTCGATTAATCGAAAATAATCGAATAATCGAAAATAATCGATTAATCGAAAATAATCGATTAATCGAAAATAATCGATTAATCGAAAATAATCGATTAATCGAAAATAATCGATTAATCGAAAATAATCGATTAATCGAAAATAATCGATTATTTTCGATTAATCGATAATTTTTTTTGATAAATCGTTTTTTTTTCGATCTATCATTGAAAATAGGCAAGCTTGAAACCGGGGTTGCTTGACGCATGCGCCAACCAACCCCGACAAGGCTGCGTCAACCAACCCCAGAGCACGTTTTTGTGTTTGTTTATAACCTAAACGAAAACTATCCAACTTTCAAAAGATCTAACTAACTAGTTTTGTAGAAGAAGCTTTGAGCTTCATGACACTAAAAAAATTATTGAAATATCTCTAAAAATATAGTTTTTATGTGAAATTATCTAAGGTTATAAAAATTTACTTACAACAGCAAAAAACCGATTATCTGTAATGCACTCCCCACAAATGACAGAAACGAACTAAAAACAACGTACACGAGTCCGCGCCGACCACGTGCCTAGAACAGAGCAGCTTACATTGTTGCCAGGTCATTTCGTTTAATGATAGTTGAGATGCGTCAACCAACCCGGGGCGTCAACCAGCCCCGGTCTCCCCTATAATAAACGAACTTAGAGCGGAAATCAATTTGTGGCCTGATTTGTTCAAATGTGCAAACACATCGATCTTGTAAAGATCGGGATTAGTGGTAGGGATCAAATCGAGTAAGTTGGCCTGTTGAGAAACGGAATCGAGAATACGTGTGTAGGCTGTTCTATCAACTAAGTTAGGTCGTGTGTACCTAATGGCAAATGCGTGTATGAATGTATGTATGTGTTGGAGGTGTCAGTTGGACTGCGACCAAGGTTGATTTATTGTACCCCTCCTTCTGCTGCTAAGTTCGGGTTTCATGCTTAAAGCAGCCCCTATGGCCTCTTTACGAATTCTAGAAATCTAGAGGTTCCAGGGCTGGAATATCTTCCAACTGTATAAGGGGACTTTCCAGGTTCTTCATCCTTGAGCAACTAATGGCATCGCAGTTCAATAGAAGATGGTGAGGTGTTTCTACTCCGACTTCACAGAATCAGATATCCTTCCAGCATGGGTTGTTTTGTTCGCGAACTGAAACCACTCTGAGTTATGAACATTAAAAACTCCCAAGAATATAATCTCGGAGTTCGGATATTCTCCTGGATAGAATTATTAAATTAATTTGTCAGACTTTCAAATAGAAGTTCATAAATGGAATCGTTGGGTGAAAGATACACACAACAAACAATAATATTCGTGAAAGTAATTCTTAGCCAAATTACTACGTGACCAGGTGATCCTAGATCATCCTCTCTATGGCAAGAGAGCTCCCTGCGATAAAATACTCATAGTCATCCATTATAGCCAAATCGCGTATAAAGTTCATAGCGAGGGGCTAGCCACTGCGGAAATCTTCTGTCCTACGGGATGGAAATCTCAGAGATCCTTGGAGATATGTGGAGTTCTGAGGATATCCCGAGGGATATCCATATGGAGATAAGTGTATATCCGGTAGAGATCAGGTAGAAAAACGAGAAGGTCCAAGAACTTCGGCTGCAGTCGTGTTGAATCGGAAAAGCGTAATTGCGTGCGCACATCAATTCAACTGGTACCGTAGTTATTGATGTATATGGAGGTCCGGAGGAGATACACGGAAATCCATGGAAATTCAAATGATCTCCATAGAGATCCACGGATATGCCTGGGTCCTTATTCTTGAAACAGGGGAGCAACGTTCCCAGGAGAACGAGTCTTCCATCTTTCTCAACGATATGCAAATGATAATATAAGCAACAAAGACGGAACACTATCGTTCTCCTGGGAACGCTGCTCCCCTGTTTCAAGAATAAGGACTCTGGTGATAACTCCCTCGCTTCACAGCCAGGACATGGGAGATGGATTGAGTTGAAATAAGATTTTCTTTGCGTCTCCATACTTCTTCTTCTTCGTCAGCCCGAGTCCATCTATTGTCGGATATTAGCCTCCAGGGCCGGATCTACGAATTTTTCGAGGGGGGGCAAAGGTGTAAATTGCCGCCCCCTATTAAATATTATTTTTTATGTACAGTGGGAATCATTGCAATTGGCACACACTATATAAATATCCCTCGTAATGTGTCAAATCTGACACACAATAATAGCAAAATACTGCACTAAGTAGATTTATTGGTTAGAATTTTGACTTAATACGAGGAATTTTAAAGAGTAAAGAGTGTGTGCCAATTGCAATGATTCCCACTGTACCTATATACATATTTAAAAATGAGGTGTTGAACTTAACAATCTATTTATATGTAGCAGTAGCGGCTCGTGGTCTATAGTCTATACTGGAATGGAAAGAGTTCATACCTAAAGTGATAGCCTCTTCCAGGTTTTTCCATGTTCCGCGATCTCTCGCTAATCTCATTCATTGTTCCCCTGCCACCGTTCTGAAATCGTCTATACATCTCTTTTTCGGTCGTCCCACATTTCTTGTTGTTCCTCTTAGTCTCCAGAGTGCCGTTTTTTGGGTCCATCTATCTGGTTCCTGTCTCGCCACATGTCCGATCCATTGCCACTTCTGGTTTACACAATATCCGTCACTTTGGTTCTATCACGTATCTGTTCATTTCGTATTTTATCCCTTAAGGTGATTCCCAGCATTATTCTCTCCATGGCTCTCTGTGCGACTCTCAGTTGCTCATCTGCTCTTCGGGTTATTGCCATAGTTTCTAAGCTGTAGGCGAGAACCGGCAGAATACAGTTGTCGAAGGCTTTCCTCTTTAGTTTTATGAGTACATTTTTATCTTTAAAAATAAAGTTCATGTTTCCAAATGCCACCCATGCCAAGTGGATCCTGCGTTTGATTTCCGCCGTTTGGTTTTCTTTTCCCAGCTTGATTTTATGTCCCAAGTATACATATGTAATGTTCTACATTTCATTTTTGCTCATTATTTTGGTCTTGTTCAGGATCATTTTTAGGCCTATTTTCTTGGATTTTTCGTTTAGCTCATTTAGCATGTTGTTCAGTTCTTGAATGTTGGTGTTCATCAAGACTAGGGGTGGGCAAAATAATCGATTAATCGATTATTAATCGATTAGTCGAATATTTTATTTTCAAATAATCGATAATCGATTAATCGATTAATAATCGATTAATCGATTATTTTCGATTAATCGATTATTTTCGATTAATCGATTATTTTCGATTAATCGATTATTTTCGATTAATCGATTATTTTCGATTAATCGATTATTTTCGATTAATCGATTATTTTCGATTAATCGATTATTTTCGATTAATCGATTATTTTCGATTAATCGATTATTTTCGATTAATCGAAAATAATCGATTAATCGATTATTAATGGATTAATCGATTATCGATTATTTGAAAATAAAATAATCGACTAATCGATTAATCGATTAATCGATTATTAATTATAGGCGAAAAGGAAACTCTTTTCAAAACCAAAATTCCTAGTTTTCCTGAATTCAAAAACGAGTCCGATATAACTTTCATTCTCTTTGATTTTCACCATTATTTTGATGGCATTATTGGACTAAACGAATTATTAAGGTTCAATTTTGTAATTGACTTAATAAATAAAAAATTAGTCAGCGAAAATGTGACCATACCGATCATTTACAGAGAACCAGATAAGGAAATTCACCGCGTCACATTAAACGCTCACGAAGTCATTACCACGAACGTACCTGTTTCGCAAAACAATGTAGATATTATTATACCCGAGAGCGTCATACATCAACTTTATTTTCCCGAGACGCTGACTACTGCAAAAAACGGATATGCACAAACAGAAATTTATAACTATACTGATGATACTATAACTTTGCGGTTCACAGAACCCCTGCAGGTCTGGACTTTACCAGATTTTCACAAAGAAACTTTTGATTTTTTCCATATAGAAGATCTCTTGCCCGAAAAATCCCATACAAAACGAGACCCTACAAATATACAAAATTTGATTCGATCTGATCATTTAAATACTGAAGAAAAATCCAGTCTCTTCAAACTTCTTAGAAAGTTCTCAGATATTTTTCACCAGGAAGGAGAAAAATTAACTTTCACAAATAAAATAAAACACGTCATTGAAACCACCGATGAGATACCAGTCCACTCAAAAACATACCGGTATCCATTTGTTCATAAAGAAGAGGTTCAAAGGCAAATAAACAAAATGTTGGATGACGGAATAATCCGTCAGAGCCAAAGTCCATGGAGCAGTCCTATATGGGTTGTTCCCAAAAAATTAGATTCCAGCGGCAAACAAAAATGGAGGATATGCGTAGACTACAGAGGCTGTAACCAAAAGACTATAAACGATCGCTATCCACTACCGAATATTAACGATATTTTGGATAGATTAGGAAGATGCACTTATTTTTCTACCATAGATCTATCGTCGGGATTCCACCAAATAGAGATGGACCCAGGATCTATCGAAAAGACAGCCTTTAGCGTAGAGAATGGGCATTACGAGTACCTGAGGATGCCCTTCGGGTTGAAAAACGCGCCCGCAACGTTTCAGCGCGTCATGGACAATATTTTACGTGACATACAAGGAAAGATATGCCTCGTGTATATGGACGCCATAATCATTTTCTCATGTAGCCTAGAAGAACATATCAAAAACCTCCAACAAGTCTTTGAAAAATTACGAGAATCCAGATTAAAAGTGCAACTTGACAAATCAGAATTTCTCAGGACAGAAGTTGAATTTCTTGGACACGTGATTACAAAAGATGTAATTAAACCAAATCCAAGAAAATTAATAGCGATCCAGAAATTCCCAATTCCGAAGACAGCGAAAGAAATAAAATCGTTCTTGGGACTCTTAGGATACTACAGACGATTTATTAACGGATTTGCAAAACTGACTAAACCATTCACAAAATGCCTAAAGAAAGGAGCTACCATCGAACACAATTCAGAATTTCTAGAAGCCTTCGAAACCTGTAAAAACGTGCTATGCAACGATCCAGTACTACAATATCCAGATTTCGAGAAACCGTTCATGTTAACAACAGACGCCTCTAATGTAGCAATTGGAGCTGTGCTTAGTCAAGGCCCAATCGGAAGCGATCTACCGATAGCATACGCCTCTAGGACCTTAAATCCAGCAGAAATGAACTATTCGACAATCGAAAAAGAACTCCTGGCGATTGTATGGGCTACGAAATATTTTCGGCCATACCTTTTCGGACGAAAATTCACCATCGTGACCGATCACAAACCATTAGAACATTTATTTAACGTCAAAGAAACGGGTTCCCGATTAGTCAGATGGAGATTGAAAATGGAAGAATTCCACTACGAAATTCGATATAAGAAAGGTAAACAAAATGTTAACGCGGACGCTTTGTCTCGCATTGAGATCAATTTAACTGAAGATGAATCAATAATAGGCAACCCTGGCGACATAAATGATGAGATTGAAAAATATTTGCAAAAATCTAAAAATCAAGATCCAACCATAGAAGAACTAGATTTACTCAGAGACGTCTTCAACCCAGAAGAAATCG